TGGCAAAAATTGTGGTCACAAAATTATAAAATGACAATGTCAACTGCATATAAAGAAAATTTGTATAAGATGTTTTACAGGTGACATCTACCCCCCGACGAGAATAGCCAGAATGTTCAAAAATAAATCTGAAAAGTGTTGGAAATGTCATCAGATACCGGGCTCATACTACCATATGTGGTGGACGTGTGTAGAAGCCAAAAGATACTGGACTAAAATCCACACATGGTTGGAAAAAATGACAAAAAACACACTTTAAACCAAGAAAATCAAGGACCTAATAATAGAAGAAGATGAAATTATGGTTTCATTTGATGTCACAGTACTCCCTACTGTACATGCATAGACCAGAGCTAAAGAAAAAGTCCATAGTAGCAGTACTAAACAACCAACCACCTGACCTACCCAAATACATTAAGATTGAAATACTCAGAATCACTTCCTCAACCTCTACTTCCCTATTTTCAGTTTAATGGACAAATATATGAGAGGAGAACACATGGGATCACCACTCTCAGCAGGCATAGCAGGCACTCTAATGTAGCATCTAGAAACCATGACACTCCCAGACATTCATCTAGAACTGTGATGGTGAACCTATGGCACACGTGCCAGATGTGGCATGCAGAGCCCTCTCTGTGAGCACACGTGACGTCACCCCAGCCCAGCTCCAATCGTGTTTCTCCTTCGGGTTTCACTCAGTCAATTCCAATTTCTCACAAAAGAAAAAGGTCTCCTAAAGTTGGAACTGATGGAGAGAACTTTTTCACTAGCATGCTTCACAATGGGAGAGGTGGGGTCCCCTCCTCCTCCTGAAGCCCAGTGGTGGGATTCACTTGCGGGACCGCCTACTACCACCAATAGCCTCCCACTGGCCAGTACGCTCTCATAAAGAGGGGCTCCTCCGGGTGCCGTCGGCCAAACAATGTCGACTGGCGGCCCCCAGGGGGAGAGCCTTCTCTGTGGGGGCACCTACTATTTGGAACAAGCTCCCCCCGGAGATATGGAGGATCCCGGATCTACGCACCTTCCGCCGTGCTCTTAAGAATTTTTTATTCCACCAGGCGGGCCTGGCCTCACTTTCTCCCTCTTTTTAAATAATTTTTAATATTTTTAATATTCAAAGTTTAATTTGTTTTAAATTGATTGGGGTTTTTTAATCTGTCTGGGCCAAACTATTTAATTCAATTTTATTTCTGCTTTTTAAATTTTATATGTATGTATTTTATTGTTGGCTGTTCACCGCTCTGAGTCCTTCGGGAGTAGGGCGGTATATAAATCAAATAAAAGTAAAGTAAAAGTAAAGTAAAGCCAGTTCGCACCACTTCGGGAGAACCGGTTGTTAACTTTCTGAGCAGTTTGGCAAACTGGTTGTTGGGAGAAATTATTAGGGCAGAGAACCGGTTGTTAAATTACTTGAATCCCATCACTGCTGAAGCCCATTACGACACGGAGCCACAATGCTACCCATGCGGCTCTTTCACTCCTCTGCTGTGGCTCCCTGTTGCGGCAGAGGGATGAAAGAGCTGTTGCCCCATCATGGCGGTGGCGATAGGCAGAGCCTTAGTACAGGAGCGAAGCGCACCTGCATTTGCCTTTGTGTGGGGCAACAGCATTCCACCTTCATCGTGGTACATTTGCTGTTGCTGCCAGCAAAGAGGGCTGAGAGAGAACGGCGGGGGTGAATCTTGCGGTGTGTGGGCCATCCCCCAAGCCTGGCCTTCCTCCTCCCTCATTGGCAGGTCCAAGAGAAAGAAGGGGGCAGTGTGGGGAAGCACTCCCCTCCCCTGGCCAAGTGCCGAGTACAAAAGCCCAGAAGGGAAGGGGGCGGCTGGCCCAACAGAGGCACCCCCATTGGCGAGTCGGACAGTGGAGATACCTGGGCTGGCTCTCGCATTGGGATACTGTTCGGCACTTCCAGACGTGAGCTGCCGCCTTTGAAATGAGGAAGCCAGGCAGCGATGGCTGGGGCCATGAGGTGGGGGGGCAGCAGAGGCATCAGGGTTTCTCCCCCCGTCCTCGGGCAAGCCAGGCCTGGAGGAGCATGGAGAGTTGTGGGCCAAGCACCAGAGGGTCAGAAGGCGCACTCCCACCTCAGCCCCAAATGTGTTTTCCAGTGCGCGCTTCTCTGTCCCAAAGTGGGATTGAGTGGGGGGTAAGAGGAAGTGAGCAGGGAACAAGGTAGGGGGGCTTCTAGAAGGAGAAGCCTGGCTGGCTTTCCTTTTGGCATGGGGCAGATAAAAATCCAATTTCCCCCAATAAATGGGGAAAATAAAGGCCCGGTGTTCCAGAGTCCAAAAAAGGGGGAAATGAAGACCTTCAGGGTCTGGCTTGCTCATAGAAGGGCCAGCTTAAAATAATGTGACCTTTGACTTCTGTTGCCGTCTTGCCACATAGACATAGTCTTATATCTTATATCTGCTGTCCAGAAGGATGGAGAGAAAAGGATTAATGTGCATCCTGGAAAAGGTCCATCTTTGTTTATAAGAAATAAGATAGTGTACATAATTGGCTGCAACACCAGTAATATCTTCCACCAACTTGGGCCAACTCCTTTCTGGCCTTCCATATCTGCTGTCTTCAAGCATTTTCAGGGCACCTTCGTGTGCACCTTTGGATTCATTTTTAAGTAATTAAATTTAAAAAGAGAACCAGAAGAAGAGGTCTTTTTTCTGGAAAGGGTGCTTTCCTAAGACCTCCCAGTTGTAATTATTTAAAGTCATTTGAGTTCCAATTGATGGATTAGCTCCAATGTATCTTGTGCGTATGTAGCGGAAACCGAGTAATATATAAATGGTTAATGAGTAATGTTCAAAGATGTATCTCTCTTTTTTTTTTTTTTAAATAGACGATGCAGTCAAGGCATTTTCTACCATGAGGATACAAATGCCTACATCTATTTAGTTTGCATTAATTTATCCACCCGTAATAATGATTAATGACTTTGAAAGATTAAAGACGGTCTGAAACAAAATTGCATAGTTGAGCTACAGGCCTGTAAGCAGATAATAACTATCTCTGCAAATATCTCTAAGTGAAACAGGTAAGTTTGGCCTCAAAGTTACAGGGCTGGCTCAGAATAAATGCAGTCATGACAAAAAAAAAAAAACAAACATTTTTAATTCAAAATATCCTATAAATCTAGATCACCCTTGAATATTAACAGCACTTAAGAAGGTAAAGTTAGGAGTGGTGGAGGTAGCAATCGAGGGCCGAAGAAATGTGTGACTTAAACAAGAACCATTTAAGAAAAGAAAGAAAAAAAAAACCGCACAGCAGATTGAATGGGAATAATTTCCATTCTCTCCTTCCTTCCTTCCTTCCTTCCTTCCTTCCTTCCTTCCTTCCTTCCTCCCTCTTCCCTTCCCTTCCCTTCCCTTCCCTTCCCTTCCCTTCCCTTCCCTTCCCTTCCCTGGCTTGCTTGCTTGCTTCCTCCCTCCCTCCCTCCCTCCCTCCCTCCCTCCCTCTCCTCTCCTCTCCTCTCCTCTCCTCTCCTCTCCTTCCCTGGCTTGCTTGCTTGCTACCTCCCTCCCTCCCTCCTTTCCTCTCCTTTCCTTCCCTTCCTTCCCCTTCCGTTATTATGTTAGATACATGATTTAATTGAAACACTTTGAAAAATGGTTACCAAGTAAACACTTTCATTGGAAATCCCGTTTCACTGGGGGTCTATTCTAACTTGACCGTGCATTTATATTTAAATGTAGATGGGCCGAAGCCAAACCATCTCCCTGAAAATAAAAACAAGTCACTTTTATATCACTCGCTCAGTGACTGGATACCATTTTGCAGGATTTAGGTGCTTGGGTGTGGGGGGGGGGGGGGGGGGGGGGGGGAAGCAAGCAAGAAGCCACGGCGGCCTGTGTGTGCAATGAACCAAAATTAATGATTTGTATAAAAGAAATGTTGTTCTCATTAATTTTTAGTGTAATCTTATTAAAAATGCCACCTGTCCAGAATGAAAGTGTCCAGATTTTAATTCTCTTTCCATTTCTCGCAGTAGTTGCAAAAGACAGATCTGGATTTGTTTGGGTTTTTTTTTTTTATTTCTTTTTGTATCTATTAACGTAGACCACAAACAACACCCTCATTTCAGTTCTTTACTGCTACAGAAATTCCACACTGAAACACTTAGTTATCAGGGTTTTTTACTTTACACCGCTTAGCAAGCTGTTGCATTTCAGCTGGACTCCTGTTCTTTGATTTTGCTTTTAGCACAAAGAGGTTGTTTTAAAAAGATCTGTATATCAAAACCATGAAATTAGCCTCTCAAACTGTACATTGTACACCTGTAATGTTTTCTATGTAGAAAGTCACTGGTTAATATTTCCATATGAGAAAAAAAAAAAGCATCTCATGTCAGTACAAACCAAATAAGGGCACATAATAATCAACAGAAGTCCTAATATACATTAATCTAACTCACATATTTTCCATCGGATGGCTGATTAAATTTAAAATAAATTAGATGAAACCCACCAGTCTCATTTTACACTATTAGCAGTTGCAGAAGCTAAGCAATTTAAGCTTCTCTTCCTTCCCAAGACAGGGCCGTCCACGGTTAGCTCACACCGGCTGAATTTAAGTGACTTGTTTCTTTGATCAACCTCAGATCCACCCCAATTACGGAAAAAAAATCACTTCTGAGTCCTGTATTTCCGTATAAAGAACAAGCATCTGAGAAGTGGAAAAGATAAGGGCTGCTATTCTCCTGTTAGGAGTTTCATTGTGAGATTTTAATCATTTTCTTCTATTCATAACAGCACAATCGAATAATTCCTGCCACTTATTTTCCCCATTGTTGCCATAATTAATGTACTACATGAGCGTGTAAGAGAAGTCGTGTTATCTTTTGATAGAGACAGGAAGTGAGTGTTCGCTCTCTCCTTTGCGCTAATGTCGCTCGGTTATGAACCACTCAAATGACAACAGAATATGAATGGAGGAAAAGCATCGCTTCCAATCGGAGTGTAATGAAACAACAACTTCAAACCACACACTACCTTTCTCCAGGTGCATTCTTTTGGAGTCGTGCCCACCCTCGTGGCCGGCCAGGTCACCTTCTTTCGGACCAGGTAAAACGTTCGGAGATAAGCCCAACAACATCTGGTTCATGGAGAGGCCGTTCTGATGGACAGCTGCTAGCACAGGCAGAGGAAGAACAAAGAACAAAAATATTACGGGTTGATGAGATGTTCAGCTACGAAATATTGACTTTCATGATGCCTTGTGTCTATTGATGGAAGAGTCTGAAGGGTCTTGCCAAACCACCCAATGACCAAGCCTACATCATTCTTGATCCTTGAGTTTTCCCAATAGATAAGAAGTTTCACTCCTCAGTTTTGTGCCTTAAGAAGCTGAGAGCTTTCTATTTCTATTCTGGGTCTCTATGACTGTGCATTGCAATGTAAGCATCCTTTGTCCATAACCTTTAAATTATAGAAATTCAATTTTTTGACACTTTTTCACTGTGTCCTACAGGGTGGGAGGGAGAAAAGAGGGCAGATCAGTAGAATACTGATAGTTGGGAAACCAAGAAGACTTGCGTTGATTGATTTAGGTTTCAGCTGTAGCAAAGAAAGAGTAGACCCAGTCCATCACAAAAGGGCAGTAGCAGAAAGATAGTTATCTCTTTTTCTTCTCTGGTTATTCTTTCCTTTCCTTTCCTTTCCTTTCCTTTCCTTTCCTTTCCTTTCCTTCCCTTCCCTTCCCTTTCCTTTCCTTCCCTTTCTCCTTCCCTTCCCTTTCTTCCTTTCTTTTCCTTTCCTTTCACCTTTCCTTTTTCACCCCTTCATATTTACCCATTCTTCTCTTTTTCATGCTCCACCTACCCTTCTTGTGCTTTAATTAATAGCTTGGATGGCATATCTTCTTTTTTTGCCCTAAACCAAGAGAATAACCTGCTCAATCTTTGCCTGAGAGTTGGCTCTTAAAATTCAAGGGCTCTGAAAAATTCAGAAGCAACCCTCCACAAAGCTGCATCCCTTTTAAAGACCACAAGACTGATTCTTCAACAGACATCCATGCATTTTGCTTCATAAAAATAATTGAATAAATGTTATTGACCTTTGTTATTTTTTGTTTAGGGACTACTTTTATTTTTATAAAGGTGCCTGGCCTTTTGTAAATTGGATGTTACGGTTTACACTAGACAAACACAGTCATTTTCCCCTTGTTGGAAATGGCGTATGAATTAGATATTCAACTGTTAGTGTACAGACATATAATTTTGTACAGAACGAGTTTATTCACTTACAGCAAAACTGACCAAGCATTTTGCCTCTTCCTTTAAAAAGAAATGACAGGATTTGCAAATTGCTTTTTGTTTTCCAACGTACGAATTAACTGACCCTGTAAAATACAGAAATAGATGGGGAAATTCCCTCTTTCCACCTCCTGTATGGTCCTTCTATCGTCTTATCTCCATGATCTTTTCTACCTCACTGTGAAGCAATGGTGGGATTCAATTTCTTTTACTACAGGTTCTGTGGGTGTGGCTTGGTGGGTGTGGTATGGCTCCGTGGGCATGGCTTGGTGGGCGTGGCAGGGGAAGGATACTGTAAAATCTCCATTCCCTCCCCACTCCAGGGGAAGGTTACTGCAAAATCTCCATTTCCTCCCGATCAGGTGGGACTCGGGAGGCAGAGAATAGATGGGGGCGGGGCCAGTCAGAGGTGGTATTTACCGGTTCTCCAAACTACTCAACATTTCCACTACCAGTTCTCCAGAACTGGTCAGAACCTGCTGAATACCTTTTGCTGTGAAGGCTGCAACTTGATTTACATACATATGTAAGGAAGCAGGAATTGCTCCTCTATGTATAAAAAGACAACAGCACATCTTAGTTGAAGATTTAAGTTATTTTAGGTTTGCTTTCTAGGGAGCAATCATAGATTCGTCCTGGACATGTTCTGTATCCCAGGAGCTTATTAACCAGACATACAACTCTCATTTGTGAATCAGAGATCATGATGAAGATGCTTCATTTCAACAGTTCATATATTTTTTTTGGTGGGGGCGGGAAATACAAAAACTTTCAAACTCCATTTATGGCACTTGCCATCTTTGATCTCTAACGTTTTATCGATTTGACTGTAATTTCCTGGTTTGTTGCAAGCCACCCAGAGTCACTGAAAGTTAAGTAGCATACAGGTTTAATAAATTATTGTTGCTTCACATTTCTGGGTTGTTCGTAATATTTGGATACAGCACTATCTTCACACACCTGAGGGCAGTCTACAAATACAAAACAAAAAAACCCACCATGTTAGACCAAATTAAAAAATTGCTCAATCACCCTGATGGTGTATCATCCATCAGAAATATAGGATTGAACTTTGATGGGAAAGACACTTATTCTTCTTCTGGGTGTAGCAACTCTTTTCTTAAGAGAATAACTGTTGTGGCTCCGTTACCTGAGCCTGTGTCATTGTCAGGAGAGGACTCCGAGAGTGAAGGAGAGGAGTTGGCAAGGCCTCCCTCTCCAGGACCCTCCTCTCTGGCAATGCCTTCGGTGTCCACCGAAGAGCAAGAGATAGGGCTGGGGCCAAGCACATCCACGTAGCCACAGGTGGACAGTGATGAGGGAAATGAGTCTTGGCTGGATCCTCGGCAGTGTCGCAGAGATAAGCACGCGCAACAGAAGAAAAGGCGTGCCAGAGATTAGGCTGAGTCACTGGACCACACCCCACAGGGTATAAAAGGGGGTGAGGTGGCCATTCAGACTCTGTGATGGACAAAACTAACTACTATCGAGTCACATTGCATCTTTGGAAACAACATTATTGGCCTTGGATTTATTTTACGAACTGGACAATTCTTGACTGTGGGTATTTTGTTTATTGAGTAAAAGTTCTTGGCAAGCAGCTACTGGGTTGCTGCCAAGTGTCTTATCGGAAGAATTGGTTGTCGCCAGTTTATTTAACCCCCGGCTGTCTGTTTGTGTGCGTGTGTGAGACGGGGACAGAACAATAACAGAGTTGGAAGGAACCTTGGAGGTCTTCTATTCCAACCCCCTGCTCAGGCAGGACACCTATACCATTTCTGACAAATGGTTGTCCAATCTCTTCTTAAAAACTTCCAGTGTTGGAGCTCCCACAACTTGGGAAGTTGTTCCATTGATTAATTGTTATAACTGTTAGGAAATTCCTCCTAATTTCTAGGTTGCTTTTCTCCTTGACTAGTTTTCATCCATTGCTTCTTGTCCTGCCTTCAGGTGCTTTGGAGAATAGGTTGAACACCCTCTTCTTTGTGGCAACTGCTCAGATATTGGAATGCTGCTATCATATCACCTTATCTTATTTATTTTCATTAAACTAGACCTGTGATGGCGAACATTTGGCACGTGTGCCCGAGGTGGCACGCAGAGCCATCTTTCCGGGAACTCGAGCTGTCACCCAACTCATCTGCAGCTGCGCATGTGCACACGCCCCAGCTTGTGCTCGGGCCTCTGATGCGCATGCATGCAATTCAGGGGACCCAGCTGGTCTTCGGAGCTCTCCTGTCCATGCGCACGCATTTGCGCATGCCCATGAGAGTACTTGCACACAGGGTGCGCATGTGTAGATGGCATTTGCGCACATGCATTGCATGCATGAAAACCACGTGCAAGTGCAGAGGGTGTGATTGCACACACAGCACACAGGGGAGCTGCGTGAAACCTGCATGCATGTGCAGATGGTGCTATTGCACACGAAGCCCATGGGGGGGGAGCTGAGTGAAAGCCACGCATATGCGCAGACGGTGCAATTGTGCATGCAGTACAGGGGGGCACACGCAAAAGCCATGCACATGCGCAGATGGTGTGGTTGCACACACAGTGCATAGGGAGGAGCCACGTGTTAGCATGGATAGCACATGCACATGGAAAGCACATACTTTTTTTTTTAAATTTGATTTATATGCCGCCCTTCTCCAGAGACTCAGGGCGGCTTACAATGCGCTAAGCAATAGCCTTCATCCTTTTGTATATTTATACAATGTCAGCTCATTGCCCCCACAACTGGGTCCTCAATTTACCTACCTTAGAACAGATGGAAGGCTGAGTCAACCTTGAGCCTGGCGAGATTCGAACCTGCAGTAATTGCAGGCAGCTGGCCTTAATAACAGGGTCCTTTAGACCACTGTACTACCAAGGCTCCTACTCAGCACTCGGTGAGTAAAACCACTGAACTAGACCTACCCAATTCCTGCAATCGTTCTTCCAATGTTTTGGCCTCCAGTTACCGTCTTGCCTACCCTTTGCAGATTTTCAGAAGCACTAAAGACATTGTGTGCTAAAGCATTAAAGGCTCTCGAAAAACGTATCTCTCTCCATAAGAAAACGTGAAAGAAATTAAACCACGTTCCAATAAGAAATGGGACAGCCATGCAATTTGCAACTGCTCCCTTGCTCCCTTCTTTACATAACTATTATCACTTGATGACAACATCTATTGCTTAGTGCCTCGCGTATGTAAGCATGTCACTGCAGATCAAACAAATTGTCTTAAACTGTAAGAGAGTGGTAAGAAAGCAAGTGATGCATTTATGCATAACCTGAACTTTCCTTTTAATGCTCTACTTACCATAAGCACCACTTCCTCAATTTCAAAAGTCTACAAAGCATGGCTTTTTTTTACACAATAACACTAATGCTCAAACTCATGGAACCTATTAAAGTGCATGTCAGAGGGTATTCATTTTACTTTCAGAGAACTGAAAAATAGAGCAAAGAGCAAACTTGAGAATGTTATGGTATTTTTTTTTTAAAAAAAAGGGACAGGGCAAAACCTTAAATCAATGGGCAGCCCCAAAGTCACCCAGGGTTAATATCCTTTTCCAGAAGGTAACTAAAAGATTTCCCTATGTTAAGCAAAGATTTCTGAAGTCAAATTGAGATGTAGAACTGCATGCAGCACAAGTAAAGATAAAAAAAGGATCTTTGTTTATATCTGCTAGCCATATACAACAGCAACAATGCTAGTTTTTTTTTAAAAAAATAACAACAAACAAACTCAGATTTGTCTGAGAAATACTCTAAACGTAAATTAAATTAATAATAATTTATATTAAAAGGAAGCGTTGTCTCCTCTCTCCTTTTTCCAGAGCTATAAAAATGAAAAGGAATTGAGAACTTGAATCAAACATGGCTGATAAATCACAGCTAAAAACAAGTCTGGAGTCTCAGCCTATGAATGTTTCTTTTTTTAAAAAAATAAATAAATCTCTTTTTTACAAATATATATTCTCTGTTACCTTCGCTACCTCTGGAGCCTGAAAAATGACATTTGAGACTGCAAATACAGAGAAATAGTTTTTGCTGGGAAAGGCAGAAAACGCTTTTTTCCATCATTGTTTTGTTTTGCTTCACAACTGACTTCTGTCCCTGGTTGGTCTCAGGATGGTCTCTGTTTCAAGGAGATGAGTCAACTCTGTTCTGGTTTAATTGAAACAACAAGCAAAATGGGTGTTTTGTTTTGAACTGTTGTTGTTCTGGGGCAAACCGGGTTCCTTGGTTCAAAGTTAGAACTAACTCCTCAGCTTTTCTGTCTGGCAGCCTACTGCCCACCCCAATAGCTTTAGAAGTTTCTCCTTGAAGATGTCTTTTCTATAGGTCTGGTTGAGAAATGAGGTAAAGGTAAAGGTTCCCTTCGCACATATGTGCTAGTCGTTCCCAACTCTAGGGGGCGGCGCTCATCTCCATTTCAAAGCCGAAGAGCCAGCGCTGTCAGAAGACATCTCCGTGGTCATGTGGCCGGCATGACTAAATGCCAAAGGCGCACGGAACGCTGTTACCTTCCCACCAAAGGTGGTCCCTATTTTTCTACTTGCATTTTTTATGTGCTTTCGAATTGCTAGGTTGGCAGAAGCCGGGGCAAGTAACGGGAGCTCACCCCATTACGCGGCACTAGGGATTCGAACTGCTGAACTGCCGACCTTTCGATTGACAAGCTCAGCATCTTAGCCACTGAGCCACTGCGTCCCACTGAGAACTTACATCTCTTCTTCTTCTTCTTTCACACAGACGTCAAGACAACATATAGCTGTTAACAGAGTTATTGGGAAAGATGCCCGATGCCATAATTCCCACCACATTATCAGGCAACCTTGCCAGTTCACCTGGGCCTTTAAGTACAGGAAGGAAATTGTCATGAGGAAGCTTGGGAAATAGAGTAGGGATGTCAGCAATTTTGTTCACACATTTTTGCAATTAACTTTCTCTGATATAGTTTTTGCTACCTCAGAGTTCCCTCAGTTTTTGTTTTTTGGGTTACAAATCACTGGATCGGGGTGTCAAACTTGATTTCATTGAGGGCTGCATGATGGTTGTGTTTGACCTCAGGGGAATGGGCAGGAGGGCGTGGCCATCAGGGGCGCCCTTGGTGACCCGAGTGCTCTGCCAGCGAAAACAGGCTCCCGAGCTCTGTTTTCAGCTTCAATGAGCTCCTGCAATCCTCTGGCAGCAAAAATGGAGCTTGGGAGGGCCGCACACAGCCCTCCCGAGCTCTGTTTTCACTGGCAGAGGCGCCGCAGGCCCAGCTCACTGTTTCTAGAGCAGCCCCGCGGCCCAGCTCTAAGCATCCCACCAGCCGGATCTGGCCCCTGGGTATACTGCACTGGATGAATGCTCACCCCAACATGGGTGGAACTGTCATCCTTTGTGTGACTTTCAGGAGGTCAGGAGACAGGCCCCTATACTCTCTCCCCATTCTCTCCTTAGAGGGGTGGAGAAAAACAGAGTGGATGCTGATTGGTTGATTCTCCCTGTTTTCTGTATTTGGAGTCCAACGAAAGGGAACTCTTACTTTGAATCACTTCCACACTGTTTTATGGGGAGGATGGAGATGTTAGTGATAGGAGTGGTGCGGTGGCCTAGAGGTGGAGCTCTCGCCTCATAATGAGGAGGCTCTGAGTTCAATCCTAGGTAGAGGCAGATATTTCTCCCTCTGGGCACACTGAGAAGATATCTGCTGAACAAAACTCCGGATTGGTGACAGGAAGGGCATCCGGCCATAAAAACACTCTGCTAGCTCCATTCAGTTGCCCAGACTCCACCCCACAAGGGATTATGGGATACCCAGCAACCTACGGATTCTGTCTGAAGAGCTTTCGGTTCGGGCAGGGGAGCTGGATACGCTGCTGCTACGATGTGAGGATGGATGGCTACCAGGCCTTCGACCGTCTTCGAGAGATGGAGCAGGGGAAGGGCTGTCTGGAACTCGTTCCTGCACATCATCAAGACAAAACAAAGAACAGCTTCAGATAAAAGGAAAGAACCTCTTCAAATTGTCTAAATATTCCTAGACTCCATATTACTGAATGTTGGGATTACCAAGTTTAATCAAGTTTTTCATTTTTTTCCGTTTTCAGTTTCATGCAATTTCTGTTTCTCAAAACTCAAGGGGAGATGATATAAGCAAGCAAACCATCTTACACTGAAAGCAGGGCAGGAACTCAAAACAGGGAAAATTTAATGGGATATCTTTCTCATTTATACTTCACCAGACATAAATAGACTAATAAAAACTTTTAAGACACAGAGCTTTTGATTTAACATACTTATTTCTATCTTTATTATACGTGTCGAGGATCTCAGATTATATCAAATGTTTCTTTCTCTCTTTCCTTCCTTCTTTGTTTTCGTTATTTCTTTCTCTTTCGTCTTTCCTTTCTTTTTTCTTTCTTTCTTTCCTTCCTTCCTTCTTTCTTTCCTTCTTTCCTTTCCTTTTTTCTTTCTCTTTCCTCTTTCTTTTTCTTTCCTTCCTTCCTTCCTTCTTTTCTTCTTTCCTTTCCTTATTTCTTTCTCTTTCCTCTTTCTTTCTTTCTTTCTTTCTTTCTTTCTTTCTTTCTTTCTTTCTTTCTTTCTTTCTTTCTTTCTTTCTTTCTTTCTTCCCTTTCCTTCTTTCTTTCTCCTTCCTTCCTTCCTTCCTTTCTTTTTTTCTTTCTTTCTTTTCAAATCTAATTGGTGAGAAGCAGTTTGGGCAAAACCAATTGCTCATCAATTTCTCCTTGCTATCCAATATTCTTGATTCCATTGGGCCAAAACATAACCAAAAATCTGTCCATCTCGATGGCGGTTGGCTGGAACTTAAGATTTCCACCAAAGGAAAGTAAGTGACCTGGGTTTTCTCCCTTTGCTTTTACCCTGTTCCCATTCTGCAGGCCTTGTGGCAGGATAAATTACAAGGATAGAAAGAAATCACAAGCCAACACTATTGCCCAGGATCTCTTCAACATAAACTTTTCTGTTACACGATCATGGTCAGCTGATAAAAGACAAGGCAGGCCTGAATGTTACATTAAAAGAGATCTCTTTCAACATATGTTTTTTGCTTATCTTGTCATTAAAGGTAAAGGTTCCCCTCGCACATATGTGCTAGTCGTTCTCGATTCTAGGGGGCAGTGCTCATCTCCGTTTCAAAGCCAAAGAGCCAGCGCTGTCCAAAGACGTCTCCGTGGTCATGTGACTGGCATGACTAAATGGCAAAGGTGCACGGAACGCTATTACCTTCCCACCAAAGGTGGTCCCTATTTTTCTACTTGCATTTTTTACGTGCTTTCGAACTGCTAGGTTGGCAGAAGCTGGGACAAGTAATGGGAGCTCACCCCATTGTGCGGCACTGGGGATTCGAACCGTTGAACTGCCAACCTTTCGATCAACAAGCTCAACATCTTAACCACTGAGCCACCACATTCCTTGTCTTCTAATTACAGGACCTGAATTCACAAAGACCTATAAAGCAGTGCTAGAACCACTGCTGTAAATTGCCAGAGTTGCTTCTTCTTCTTCTTCTTTTTTTTTTTTTGCAACTGTGGTTTGGATTACTGTAGTCCATGCTAATTAAATGCTTTTAATGAATTCCACCAAAAGCATCTCCTTTTTTGATCACTCAATGTTGCATTGGATTCTAGATAGAGCTTAGATGGCATCCTACACTTAAAAGAGCTCCATTACACGCCATCTAAAAAGTCATGTTAAACATACATGGAAAAGTGGGATCTTTTTTAACATACAGAAAATCCAGATGGGTAGTATAGTGTAGTGTGCACTGTACACTACAGTTGCTTCACAATACAAAAGTGTTAATTCCTATCCTGATATGGAGTGTTTACTATTAAATATATCTATCTTTTGAGGCTTGGAGATGAATCATTTGTCATGCAATGACTCTAAAGTTGAGTATACCGTATTTTTCAGAGTATAAAACGCTCCGGATTATAAAACGCACATACCTTTTTTGGTGAGGAAAACAAGAAAAAGAAATCTGCCTCTGCCTCCCAGCAATTTTGCCTCGCTGCAGCAAACAGCAAATAGCCTGCTTTACTTTCACTTTCATTTTCAGCATAGCTTGATTAGCAGAAGAAAAAAAAAAATCTGCTCCCAGCAATTTACCTCCTTGCAGCAAGCAGCAGAGGCTCGTGCAGCAATAGGCAATGGCAATCCCTGCAGCCTGAAACAGATGAGAGTCGGTAGGCTGATCCAACTGACAATCAACTTGTACTAATTAGGCTGTGCTGAAGCTGAAATGGGCTGTTTCTTCTTACTGCTTGCTGCAAGGAGGTAAATTGCTGGGAGGCAGAGGCCAGAGGGTGGGGGCCAGTGGGTGGGCGGGGCTATATTCGGTGTGTAAGAGGCAACTAAATTTTCACCCCCTTTTAGGGGGAAAAAGGTACATCTTATACTCAGAAAAATACAGTAGGTTACAATCACATGATCTATACCATTAATATAGACTAAATTCAATGTCCTATAATACTGATTTTGACTTTCTTAAGGATAAAGATTATTTTGCCATTGAGTTGAACTTACAGAAAGTTGTTCCTCATATCATTTAATAAGGTAAAAAGTTACGGTGCCCTTCAGCTGAACTCAATTCCTGCTGACAGCATCCATACAGTTTTCTTGGCAATGTTATGAGAGTGGTTTGCCAGAGACTTCTTCTGAGATGGTTTTCAGACTTCTGAGGTTAGCCAGGAAAACAGTAAAGCAAAGCTCTACGCTTACATTGTGTTCATTTTCTCATTAGGAATTCATTTTAAGCCCGATAAGGCAGCATGCTTTCAGAATGCAGGCAGAAATTTACATAGCTGAATACTAACTTGATAAAAGAAATCCAGGTCAACATAATTCTGAAGCTGGAGAAATTCTACCTCTCAATTTCCATATGGATAGTAAAGGTAAAGGTTCCACTCACACATATGTGCTAGTCGTTCCTGACTCTAGGGGGCAATGCTCATCTCTGTTTCAAAGCCGAAGAGCCAGGGCTGTCCGAAGATGTCTCCATGGTCATGTGGCCGGCATGACTAAACGCCAAAGGCGCACGGAACGCTGTTACCTTCCCACCAAAGGTGGTCCCTATTTTTCTACTTGCATTTTTTACGTGCTTTCAAACTGCTAGGTTGGCAGAAGCTGGGACAAGTAACGGGAGCTCACCCCATTATGCGGCACTAGGGATTCGAACTGCTGAACTGCCGACCTTTCGATCGACAAGCTCAGCGTCGTAGTCACTAAGCCACCACATCCCTTATATGGATAGTACCCTCCCCTTAATAGAAACATCTATAGAGAAAGAGTATTTACAGGTAGTCCTCGATTTATAACCAAAATTGAGCCCAAAATATATGTTGTTAAGTGAGACCATTGTTAAGTAGGTTTTCCCCCATTTTGCAGCCTTTCTTGCTACAGTTGTTAAGTGAATCACAGCAGTAGATAAGTTAGCAACCCAGTTGTTAAATGAAACTGGTTTCCCATTAATTGATTTTGCTTCTCAGAAGGTCACAAAAAGGGATCATGAGCTGCTATAAGAAATGAGCTGTTATCAAGCATCTGGATTTTGAACACATGGTCATGGGGATGCTGCAAAGACTTATAACTAGGAAAAATGGTCATGAGTCATATTTTTCAGGGCCGTGGTAACTTTGAATGGTCACTAAATGAACTGTTTTAAATCAAGAACTAATCTGAAGTTTACCTAAATTCTCCAAAGATGTATCAACTAGAAAGTGATTTCCCAGCTTTGTGAGAACTCACAGAGTATCAGGTTGTATGCCATCCCTAAATTAGGATTTTGATCCCTAAAAACTTTTGCCAAAGCTGAACACCCTGGAGCCTGCAAAATTCCCGAAGTATTGCTAAATATTACTTTCCACCGAAGGAAAAGCATAGTATATGTAAAAGAGGTCCAAAGGAAGTATATGAAGTTCAACACGAACAGAACAGAACAGAACAGAACAGAACAGAACAGAACAGAACAACAGAGTTGGAAGGGACCTTGGAGGTCTTCTAGTCCAACCCCTTGCTTAGGCAGGAAACTCTACACCATTTCAGACAAATGGTTATCCAACCTCTTCTTAAAATCTTCTAGTGTTGAAGCATTCACAACTTCTGGAGGCAAGTTGTTCCACTGATTAATTCTTCTCACTGTCAGGAAATTTCTCCTTAGTTCTAAGTTGCTTCTCTCCTTGATTAGTTTCCTCCCATTGCTTCTTGTCCTGCCATCAGGTGCTTTGGAGAATAGCTTGACTCCCTCTTCTTTGTGGCAGCCCCTGAGATATTGGAACACTGCTATCATGTCTCCCCTAGTCCTTCTCTTCACTAGACTAGCCGTGCCCAGTTCCTGCAACCGTTCTTCATATGTTTTAGCCTCCAGTCCCCTAATCATCTTTGTTGCATTTCTCTGCACCCTTTCTAGAGTCTCCACATCTTTTTTACATCGTGGTGACCGAAACTGTACGCAGTATTCCAAGTGTGGCCTTACCAAGGCATTATAAAGTGATATTAACACTTCATGCAATCTTGATTCTATCCCTCTGTTTATGCAGCCTAGGATTGTGTTGGCTTTTTTGGCAGCAGCTGCACACGGCTGGCTCATATTTAAATGCTTGTCCACTAAGACTCCAAGATCCCTCTCACAGTTACTACTATTGAGCAAGGTACTACATATACTGTACCTGTGCATTTTGTTTTCCTTGCCTAAATGTAGAACCTTACTGTTTTTAGCATGTAATAGATTCCCAAAAGATTGTTTGAAGAAGTTATTCATAATTTTGAAAATTAAAATGCTTATTTTGTTTTGTTTTTTTAAAAATCCATGGGGATTTAAAAAAAATGTTTTCGGTGAGGTTTTTTGTTTGTTTGTTTGTTTGTTTTTTAAATTATCCCCTTGGGCATTTTTTTTCCTGAATATTGAATGGCAGATAACAAGACAGTGGAGGAGATCATTTT